TGAACATGTGCCATTCAACTATATTTATGTGCAATTATTTTTAAGTCTATTTTAAAATTATTTTTACGCCATTATTTATTGCATGTTACCTTTTTCCTGCTGTTCTTGAATTGAGCGTTGCAACACTGGAATTTCCCCACTGTGGGACTAATAAAGGCATATCTTATCTTATCTTATCTTATCTTAATTATATATTATATATAATTATATACATTGCCTGATGCAATATTGTAACCCAAAATCATAGTAACTTTACCAACGTTTAATAAGATCAAAATCATTTAAATATCATTGTTAAAATCTGCACCTATACAGTATTAAATTATTACACTTTTTACCATATTACACTATTTTCTGATCTTATAGAAACTGCTGTGGGAGTTTTCTGATCCTACATATTAAGGGTGAGTTTTTCTCTCAAACAGAAAACACTTCAGCCCTGGAATTGCCAATTGCTACTGAACTAAAGCTAAAGTATATGCTAAGTTGAAAACTACAACTACATGACATCACAAGGTGGAACAGAGCATTTTGAGTTTTGAAGATGTAGACAGACTAATAATCTAGGATTACTCAACATTTGTGAGGGAAACAAAACACAACTCCGGGATAAACACATACTTAGGAGAGAATTTTGTTTAAACAGTTTTAGCATCAATTAGCATCACTTATTTTGACAACCCTACCCAGTTATTATCACATTTGAAGTTAACTTTGCACATTAACACTGGGGACAAAAGTTTGCTGCATAAAACTGTAACCCCCCCTCCCAAGCAGGTGAGCTGATGAATACATCATTACGGTATTATTCATTGCACCCGTCAGTGATGGTTAAATGAGGTCTGATCAAAATTCAGTCAAAGCAACTAACACAAATCAATTCACAATTTTTATTATGACTGTGAGGTGGTAAATTCGTAGATTCATATTTCAACAGTTTCTTATCTTTTATTGCAATGATCTCAAAGACTGTATATAAAGTAGATAATAGCTGCTTAAAATAATAATTAGCATGACATGGTGAAAAATGAAAGTACAAATCCCTGGGGAAGATATGAGCACTCTTTGGTACCGTGCAGGATTGTTTCACCATCTGCAATTCGTGAAGGTCTGGCCATAGCAAATCGCCCAAGAACTCTCTCAAATGTTTTTTACTTTAGACCTGGCTCCTATCAGCTTTGATTTCTTCCGTCTACTACAGTGAGTACAGCATGGTACAGTGCTGGGGGTCGCTATTACTGATACAATCACACAAATGAATGGCACCGAAGCCTTACCAGCGAGAGAGAGAAGTCGTGATCCAGCAAACAAAGAACACAATTTACTGTTAAGGTATAGTGTGTGAAGCCATTACTTTATACAGGCCTGAGGTGGAGAAAAATACACTGATTTCCATTTGGTCATTGCTTGTGTATGGGTTACCTATAAAACAAATGTAATTAAGACATTGCATCCATGTAATAACAATGCTTACAATCATTTTATAAAACATTTTTTTTAAATATTTTTCTTTCATAACAGAAAAATAACCTGAAATGCAGCAGCACAGACACTGCCCTTTCTACTATTGGAGAATTACATGGATGGATCATTCCTTTGATCTGCATTATGCTATGTAGGCATTATTCTTTAGTATATGGGATATGTAAATCATCTTAGAAGAATTGAACATACTGTGGTCCAATATTATTTAATGAAACAAAATGAATGCTGCTCATTTCATTTCTCAGTAATTTCCTATGGTGGGCCCTCTGGTAAAGCCATATTATAACAAGATGGAACTTCCATTATGCATCTGTGTGCTTTCATGGTCCCCAGCAAGACTACAAACTGGCTAATTACGTTTGCTTGATTAAATTTTAGATTGCCTTCAAATCATTTATCTTACATTCATCCAGGGCTGGTTAATGATATTAAAACATCTAAGAGAACAACGCATGTAAGGAGCCTTTGATATGTACAGGCACTTGTGTCTCCATTGGTCTGGACCATGCTAGAGTGATTGATCAGAGCTTTACATATCCTTAGGCGCTCTCATTTCCTGCAAGTAGGCCTGTATAATAAGGTTAAGGAGGAGGTCTGTTTTATTCTAGAGTCTGGCCTCTGTAGTGAAAGTCATGATCTGGATATTTGCAGGCTTATTTTGCTGTGGGAGTTTCATGAAGCATTTGATTTCTCTTAAATTGTAGGGTACAAAAAAAGAAAAGATCTGTCTTAGTTCCTATTTAAAGGGGCTGCAATAAACTGGCGACCAGTAGCCTTTAAAAAGAAGGGGGCAATTTGTATCACTTACAGACTGAAAAGTAGACTAAGCTTGAATTGTAGCTAGAAACTACAAATTACTGGTATTAAACTCAAGCCATCTCAAGTATTTTCTGTGGAACATGTAGGCAGGTAGTATTAAATAAAGTTGTATATCATTTGTCAAATATTAGGAGCTCAGAAAAAGCTAAAAGCTTTAGTCTATACAGGAAACACATGCCTGGATTGCCCTCTGCAGCAACTGGTCGATTAACAAAGTATCTCTATAATCTGAGCATATCTGATCCAAACTGCACGCTCAAGAACATAAGACATCTGGAGCAAAGAGAACAACAAATACGGGTAAAATTGTCATGTGCAAAAAGAACTCACAGTCCCAAAACTTCTGCACACGACTCCTCATGCCACAGCTTTTCTACTGTTGTGATACAAATCCTTCATAATTCCAGTAAAATAATTAGATGATAAATAGAAATTTCCATTAACTAAAAGACTAAAGGCATACAGACCTTATCTCCACTAAAGTAAACATTTTCAGTAACAGCTTTATTAATTCCTACACAATACTTGATTATTCTCGATCACTCCTAAATTTGGCCAATAGCTGACATGGGGCTCCTGCAGAGCCCTGGCAGTGACAGTGAGCTGTGCTGGGCTGCAGTGGATTAGTGGTTTATCAGGAGCAGCACACTGTGGCTCTGGTTTGGGCTTGTGTGCTTGTGGATAAGTGGCTACAGACACGAGCGAGTCCTTGGCCTTGGTCAATAACTGGCCTGAGGGTGCACCGGCTGCTGCTCAATTAGACAACACTCAAACCGTTTCTTGGTCAATATATTCACGGTCACTGGTACATCACAAATATATTTTAAGCTTCTAGAAGGAGGGAATCTATTACGATTCATCTTTTCTGCTAAAAGTGATCCCCTGGCCTAAAAACAGCAACAAACCAAACCTGGGATGCCATTAGCTGTCATGGTGGGCACAAACATGTGTCTAGTTTGTTCCACACAGGTTTTACTGGTAGGATCTAGAAGCCAAAAGTGAGGAGCTCCTTCTCACTGGACAATCACCAAGAGAACTAAAACAAGAAATGCAAACAAAAACAACATCATGTGATTTCATGTATTAACATTTTCTTATTTATTTATCATACCCACAAATAAAACAAAAAAATTACATTTAAGTATATCCATAAATAATATAAAGCAAACCTATATGTGCCATTCCCCCACTTAGATAAATGCAATAATTTTTATGAAGGGATTTCAGGCTAAAAGCAATGTCAAATCAATATGCAAATTCAGTTGGGAGGCAACAGATTTTCTATGGCTAACCAAGAGAAACAAACAGAAGCTCATATTTGTAGTCACCCGTGTGACATGGTTTACACTGACAAAGAAAAACAGCTCCCTTATGGTGGCTGCTCCTCTGGGCGAACAGCGTCAGAGACAGGCTGCATGCATGTCCAAACACACATCTAAACACACGTCCAAACACACACGGCACAAGACCCTAACAGAGACCATCTGCCATGTGTGGCCCACTGCCTCTACATTTGTATCTTGTCTCCTCTAAACATCTGCAAACTATAAAAGATAAGGTCTGGATTTAGGAAAACAACATCTCCATTTTTTGATAAAGACATATCCTTATATCTTATTCTTTTCCCATATATGAATGAGGGAGTCTTGTCATTCCTGTGATCTTTTTTCCAGTCCAAAATGATATCTCTCTGTATATTTTATACAGTCTTCCCCCTATGATATTTTTTACTTTCTTTTATCCTCATAAAAATCCTCCAGTGAGATATTCCTGACCAAGCAAGCTCCAGATCTGGGGACGGGTCCCCGGGTACAGCACTGGGGGGCCCTCCTGACAGGGCGTCCCAGCGACAATGAAGGTTGGGTCAAATGCAGAGGACAAATGTCCCTGCTGCCACAAGTGTACGTAACTTTGATACAAATGGACCATGCATGTCCCTGATCATCTATTCCTCCTGTCAGTAACTCACATCTGAATTTGGGGAGTCAAGAAAAGTTTTTACAGCCATTTCTGATGACGCCTGTAGTGAAACATCACACAGTGTTTCTCTCATCCATCATGTAAAGTGTAACTGATGTGGATTATTAACCGCCATCAGCCCCAGTCACAGCACTCTGCCCTTAAGCACTGAATTATATTTGAATTGTATGAGCTCTGTGGGAGTTACCTGTGCTGTGAAACAAAACTATTATTACTTATGACAGTCATGACTTCGACATGAATTGAAATGTTCGATTTTCATGAAAAATACTTATTCACCAACAGAAAACGGATTGATATTTAATTAATGACAACTAATGTATTTCAGTGTGAAATTTGATTAAATGCTCAAAATGCTTGCTTTGAGTAAGTACATAGTATAAACATTAAGATGCCAAATCTCCAGTTTCCATTAGTTTCTTTAAACATCAGCACTGTGTTATTCATACAGTATAATAAAATACATATTGAACTTGGTCATAAAACCTAACTGTCCCGCCGCAGTCCACCCCTTTAGCCCCAGTGTCCCACCACAGCCCACAGATGTGAATGTGATTACTCCCCCCGTCCCCCTGGCCCACCTCCTGCCTGCCCCTCTTTCCACTGCAAAGAAAGAGCTCATTCAGTTTGAGCCCTCCAGACAGGGGCCACAGACCAGAACCAAAAACACAGTGTGGGCCCAAGTGATAGCGTTTTCACTGATATGAGGACGGAAATGGACTAAGATTTTTATAATAATAATAATAATAATAATAACACCGCAACTTTTGGACTGGGACAAAACAAAGGGTGAGTTTAAATTTCTGCAGCTGTAACTGTAAGGCGGGTTGTTTATCTTTTTTAATTGGTGACATTGTGTAATTTGACTAATTAGATGAGAGAAAGCAGCATGTTTGCAGACTCTTAATAGTTCTTTTGTACAATGTAATAAACAATACATATTCAGCTGTATTTGTGAAGTATTTCTAATGCATGTAAAACAAATATAGGATTCCTTGAGTACTTCAATGGCAAGTACAAACAATCCTGCGTTTTGCCTTTTTAGCACAAAAATTAAGTGAGAAAGAAGAATAAAACTGCCACAAACTTTTTTTTTTTCAAATGTGATCTTACTATACTCAACTCATTATTTCTCCCTGTATATTTTATTTACAAAACAGAGTATATTCTCTAGTCACAAACTTAACTAAAACAGTTTTATGAGCTTGTCGTAGCCAACTGCTCACTTTTCTGCAAGTATCCTCCTCTCTATTTAAAGCCTAGAGTCAGAGCCAGTAAAAGCAACTTCACAATGACAACAGCCTTCCCCATAAAGTCAGAGAGGCCCCAGCACACACTGTTTTAACTAAACCGTGGAACGCCGCATGGAAATTTCGCTGATAATTTCCAAAGACAAAGGAAACTGCAGCAGAGTAGCCCAGATAAAGACTTGTGCATGTGCTTGTAGTTAACAGCCTCCGCTCAAATAACCACCCCATTTATAAGTGACCTTGGCAAGGACTCAGCAAACTGCCATCACTGTATGTAATTTTGTTTTTAATTTATGCATTTATATGAATGTCAGTATATTTTATGGTTATAATAGCAATAGTAACATTAACCTTTTCAAAAAGACATAAGGCTGCCTGATATATTGTACCCACAGAGATACTCAAAGTACACAAAGTGAAATTAAAATCAAATAAAAAATCCCAAATCATGTAAAATTTAAATCATTTACAGTGTTGCTATTCCATCTATTATAGTTGTCAAATGTCCTCAAAATGGTGTCCAAACCAGAGATCAGAAATCTAAAACCCAACAATAAGATTACTCAACTGTTGATATTGTATTTCTGTTTCTTCTACTTCGACAGATACCAGAAATTAGCTGGGGTACTTGAGGCTGCTTGTTGATAGTTCTTAGATGCTTAACATGCCACCTCAAAATAAACACTATTTTATTGCCTTTTTACTAGCCGGAAGGCATGGGCCATTTCTGGTGCAAGTCACTGAAGTATTTTGTGTATGACAGACTAAATGAAAAAAGCAGACTGGAGCAGAAACCAAATGGCTCTGAAGTGGAGAGAGTGCTGTCATTCTTCAGTCTAACAAGCCCAGTCCTCGCCTCAAATGTATTTCCATATTTCCGCTGACTGGAAGTGGAATATACGATACAGCTGTTGTTTGACTAAATGTGTAAGTCAGGCTCCTAAAAACGCTAAAAAACAATGAAAAATCACACCGCATGTTGTTAAGTAGAATCCTAAGTTTTACAGAAACACAGACTATAAAGCAAAACCTCCAAGTTAACAGTCTCAGCATTGCATCATTTCCTGAAATAGGCCCAAACTTGAAAGTGTAAAATGCCGTTACTTTTTCCAGTAGTGTAATATTATGGCGAATGTTATTAGTTAAAAGAGCAGATATATATGCCATCATGTTGGAAATTTGGATAGGATTTTAAGATTGATTGAGTAAAGTTAATGATAATTTGCTGTTTTTGAAAGTCACTGCTTAACTTTCTGCATGAAGGGTCCACCACCATGGAGATGTTGTTGTTTCATCTGGAATTCTTCACAGTATGATGTTAAACTTATCTATTTCCATGAAAACAAGCACAAAGACAATTTACAGGTCCGATTTGTGGAGATTACAGTCGAATAAATATTTTTCAAGGTATTGTTTTGTTGTAAAAACACCTATGATTAAATAATAAGCAAGTTTAATGCCATACTGTGGTACATTCCAGGGAAAGCATATCTCCAAGGACACAACAAGGTACAGAGGAGAAAAGTTATATAGTGCATCTTTAAACAAAATATGTCCTAATTTGCTAATTTTGGACAGCTTTTCAGACCACTCTCCTTCTGTAGTAGGTAAAAGTGGCTGCATCTGTACTGCAAAATTCAAGCTGCAGGGTCACCTGTTACTTGACTTTTATATGGAAAAGGTTTTCTCTACAATTTTATGCTTCGTAGGCAGTAATAACAGGGGGTTAAAGGTCAAATAAGGAATTTAGTGGGAGGGGTCGCTATAAAATGAGATTGTGACCTGACCCAGTTAAGTTGAAGTGATCGACTTATATTTACTTAAATTCAATCCTATTCAATTTATTGTGAGTCAATATTTTTCTGTTTAATGCCACCCAACCTCCTACTGGTCAGCCTCTGTAAAGCTCTGAGTGAGTGAGGTGGATGTACCTGTACATAGTGCATCTTTAACCCTGTATAGGTTTAAAGGTGCACTATGTAACTTTTCTGGTACAAGTCCAGTACCTAGTTGTGTTCACAGAGATATGCTGGAGAGATTGCTTTTTTTAAAATTATTTATTTATTTTATTGAGACAGGGACAGTGCACAATTATATTAACCTTAACAGGAGAGATGCATTCTACCAGGTTGTAGCACCAAGTGCTTATTTCCAACTGTGGTCCCTGGGCAGGTTCACTGATGGACTGTATTTTTTATTGACCTTAGCTATCAACTGGTCTTCCTGGAGACCTGTGTAGTATCTTTTGGGTTTGGACTTTCCTTGGAATGTACCACAGTATGAGATTAAAGTTGCTTATTATTTAATTATGTTTTTTTGTTTTGTTTTGTTTTGTTTACAATAAAACAATACCTTGAAAAAATATGTATTCTGTAAATAGCCTCTCCACAAATTAGACCTGTAAATTGGCATGGTGCTTGTGTTCATGGCAATAGATGCGTTTAATATCATACTGTGAAAAATTCCAGGCAAGGCAACAGCATCTCCATGGTGATGGACCCTCCACCCGGAAAGTTACACAGTACACTTTTAAACTCTCAAGGTCATATTCATTACCTATAAAGTAAAAGCTATTAGTGTCCAATGTTGTTGAATCATTAAAATCTCATAATGTTTTGTTAATACATGTCTCAAATGTTTCATATTTACTCACTCTGTTCATTTCAGATGATGATGCAGGGCTGGTGGTGGTGGTCTTTCTTTGCTGTGTGGGTGAGTCTTGTCTCTCCAGCACTGTGCCAAAGTGGAGACGGGGAATGGGGGTCCGGACTTTACATGGACGCTCCACTGATGGTCACCAATGACACGTCCCACTCTGTTGGGGATGAGCCTGCAAGGACAACAGTTAACCCAAAATCAGTCACCCTAAATCAGCCCCCATCTCCTGCCCCCACCCTCCTGTACAAACCCCAACCAGATAAGTGCTCTGTGTACTTTAGCACCAAAACTTCTGCAAGACTTAAAGCATACCAAGAGGAAATGGCATACCTGCAAGCCATTCAACATGGAAACAGAGCAGTAATGGACAATCTGGTTCAGTATGTGGGGGCGGAGCTTGGCCAACACAGTTATGAAGATATTATTAAGGAAAATATCATTAGCATTCAAGGAGAGCACAAAAGCTGCCATGAGACAGTAGAGAAAGCTGAGGAGGATCTGAAGAAGCAGCTGGAGGGGGAGGCACTCGGAGCTCTTTCAGGGATGCAGAAGTGAGTACGATCCTATCAGTTTGATGGACAGTTTCCGCGGTAACAGAGATGGTACTTCCAGGGCACGCCTCAAGTTACATGCAAAATCAGAAGTAAAAAAAAAAAACCTCAAAAGAAAAGTTCTGTTGTTTTTTTTACCTTCTGCAACTTTAATGATTGAATAATTAATCATCAAAGGATTATGAAGACGTCTTCTTTCATTTTTCTTTTTCAATTTCAGACTTGTCACAGCAAAATTATGCCTTTTTCCATTAAACAAGCATTGCGACCTTCATAATTTAATAGATTTTGTATACAATTAATTACAAATTGCTGCAGAAGACTTGTTATGGTAAAGGGAAAAAAATCTCATACATTTTGCAAATTACATATACACATTTTCTGTTGTTTCGTGATTTGTGATGAACTGTCAGTGAAAATGATATTTACTAATCCATTATCTAACCAATACTTGATCCAAACATCAGGATTTCATTAAAAGTCTGAGTACATTCCTTTTTGTAAATAAAATTTTACTTTCTTCACCTCAGCACATGTTTTCACAGATGTTCTATCCCATAACACTCCCTTGACTTTTCACTGCAGTAGACCTGTTAATATGTTTGATTTCCACCTCTTTTACCCACTTGCACTCTGCTCTTCTTTTGTGCTGGTTCTCAGAGTCAGAGAGGAGTCCTTGGCCTTTGAAGACATGCTTTCTGCAGCAGCCGACATCGCCAGTCGTCTGGAGAGCTCTGCCCAGGCTCTGCACGCTGCATTCACCAGGAAGCTGAAACATTCTGTCAACACGCATCAATAAGAACACTCCCAAGATCAAACTTTAGAATAAACTGGAACATTTTGCCAAGCAGGTTCAATCCCAAGACAAGCACTACATTTTTATTTTTGTTTTAAGGTTTCACAGCTTTGTTCTTTTCTTTGTGTTTATTGTAAAAACATTTCTGTCCTTTCGTTGTGTATGTAACCTTGTAATGCTGAAGTGCATTTTCCATCTAGTCTTCCTGGAAATTGGTTGGGTCAGACCGTGCAGCGGTAAGGGGTGCAGGTTTACGCCAAGCCCAGTGTTTATGGATCATAGCAGATTGGTCTTGAGAGACTGACTGTAATGACTTTGTTAGACTTGTGCAGACGAAGCTATGGATCAGCCATCTGGTTCCAGGGTGAGGATGGAGTAAGCCGCCCTCTCATCTGTGATTGTGGCATGGGTAAAAGGGACAATTTTCCTCCAGGCATTTGGCCCAGCTCTGAAGAACAATGCCCATGACAAAATATGAATATTGTGGAGTATAAGAAGCTGTAGCCAATTATATAAGTGAAGTGTTACTCAGCCCATGTAGTGTGCAGTGACCCTGTACTTGTTACATGGTCAGAACATACAGCAAAAAACAACTTTATTATGTAAAACTAGTTAAATGTACTGCAATTTTACACTTGCATTAGTTTCCTTTTTCAAAATCTCTACAGCCATATATAGAACTCCTTTTCAGGAGTCAGAATCTAATTTAAATGATCTTGTTTTGCTTAATATAACCTGTTATTTTGGGACACGTCTTTACTTGATAACACCTAGGTGACAGGCTAAAGGCATGAGTGAGTGTTTTGTGCGAATGCTTTTGGGTGAGCAAGAGCCTGAGCGAGAGAGAGGGAGGAAGAAAGGGAGGGGGCAGGGGGAGAGAGATGGGTACTGGCTGCTATAGGTAGCAGATGAAAGACAGAAATCTAACAGACAGTATGCCACTGCCATGTGGACCAGTCACGCTCCTATAAAATGTAATTATTTAGAACCGTTTTTGTTTTGTTTTTTGGCATGCGTATTTTGGCACCATGCATAAAGCTTAACATGCATTCAGCGGTTTACAACATTTTAACCAGTATCAATAGGATCTTTGGTTTTGTCCCTATAGTAATCTTAGGGCAAAGGGTGCCATGTACCACAGCAGAGTAAATGTACCATTTGGATTCTCTATTCCGCTCTGACCGGTGGACTGCGAGGTTGGAAGAAGACGCTCAAACTGCACTTGCCGGTGAAGTTTTTACTGGAAGTTTTCACAGCGGACTGATTTACACAAAAATTAAGGAGCGACCGGCGCTGAAAACAAAGTAGCTCTGCCATGCATCCCAACTATGAAGATGACTCGCGCCTCTCTTCAGATTCAAGATAACGCTTTGACATTGGACGATCCGCTTTTTGTCATCTCCGATGGAGTTGGATTTCTTTTGCAAAATGAGAATCGTGCAAATGTCCCCAACGAGGGCAACACTTCTCCTTTTGTTTTCTCTCACAGGTAAGTTGCACTGTTAGTTTACTTGACGAATTTTCAAACAAGCTTTGCATAGCACGTTGATTGTAAAACCAAATATTTTCTAAATTTTGCCTAAGAAAAACTTGGGAGCAGTTACCGTGCCTTCTGATCAAACACATCCCGGGATGCTCTCCGCTTCCTCTGTGGACTTTACGCGCCACAACAAGTGTACTTTGTGGCCACATTTGATGCCGCTCCATGGAGAGTGGTATGTTCAACGTAAAAAGTTGGTCATATAAGTTAAACGTTTTCTTTTGGTAAAAGATTGAGTTGGAAAGCCACAAGTCAAAAACCTGTTGGTTAACTGACACATTTAGTTTTTCATAAATAGTCAACATTTTAGGGTTTTCTGTTATCTTTTGTTTTGGAACGCAGTTTTATTTAGTGACGTGAACGCTTCTTGAAATACCTTACCTGACTAATTTAGAAATGAGCCTCTGGTCTGGACAACTGTTGACTGATCACCTAAACTGCTCAGTGTTTTACGCACCTTGCCAAAGCATTTGGCTTACTTCCAGCTGCCCAGAGCGGCGTGCGCGGGACGCTGGAGGTGTCATCTCATCTCGAGTCTCGTCTGGCAGCAGACTTTGATCTATGGCGTCCAACAGCCCTTTGTCAAGCATCACATCTGCTCCTTCACAGATGCACGGGCAGATGAACGCAGTGTCGCTGTCCCTCGTGTAGACCTGTTTGCCCCAATCATATTAGCCCATGATGTGTGTAGATGAGCAGAGAATACTTTGTGAGAAACTTGTATATTCATAGGCTATAGCAGGTGCTGGACTTGGGCTAATTTGTTTTGGTGACAAACAGGTGCCACAGGTGTTATCCGACTCAATATGTTTGTTGCACTGGGACTTTGCACACTGGTCCAGCCATTACTTGTTAAAGACCTTCAAGGCAAGCAATTAGAAAGCATAGGCCATAAATCACCTCAACAGATTTGCATGTTGCCCCTCAGGTTGGCTCAATACAACAGCTTTTTACCCTCCACTGGTCCGTCTCACTGTTAGGGGCTATAAACACATGTCATTGTGCCCCCACAAGTGCTATGGTCACCTTGGACTACAGGGTGTTTGCCAGATGTTGGACAATAAAAGATAAAAGGAAACTGTAACTTTTCTCTAACAGAAAAAGTACCATCATCAAAATCTTTTCTAGGGCTTGATTGTTTGCCTACTGTATTCTTTGTGCCCTCTAATTACAGAATGATGCTTGTACTTCAGATATAAATTTAATTGACATAGGCCTATAAATGCCCAACACTCACTGCTTATCAAGTTAAGTAGTAATAATATTGTATAATTATTTTCCCATTAAGCACTGCCAACTAGTCTTGGAAAATGTGACCAAAGTTAGAACAGCTATGTGCTTTTAAAAATAAATTAATTAATTGTCTTTTACATGACATTTAACATGTGCAATGACAGTTCAAAAATAAACAGTTTTACATGTTTGAAAATTAGCTCACCTCCACTTAACACTGGCAGCTAATGATGTGTGTAATTGGCTCTGACTAAACTGATGAGAGGTGATCCCCAGGGGCTTCTGTTACTTCAGTGTTGTTTTATTAGAATAATAAGTAGCAGGGCTGCATATTATAAGTATGTCTCTTTGAGCTAATCAAACTGAACTGAAATCTCTATAGATAAACAAAGAAAACTATATCAGATATCCACCTGTTCACCCTGAGAGAGTTTAGCAGGCGCTGCCTGAGAAAAGAGGTGTTCAAAAGATCAAAAGATTTGCCAAGATGTGGAAAAGTCGATCAAACATTAGAAAGGAAATGCTCAGATGTTTAGAATAGTGCTTTTGAGAATACAAAGATGTCTATAGAACGCAGCCACTCCTAAGCCACAGTGTCATATCAGCTTTGATTTTCTGCCTTTGTAAAAGAGAAGCTTAGACAGAGCGGTGGAAGAAGGTGAATATGTACACATCTACGGCATGATTCTACACAGACAACTTCAATACTGTTTAAGTATTTTAACAATGTTTTTTACTCACACAGTTTTCCATGAATGCTGAGTAAAATTTACTACATTTTCTGTCTTTCCACAGTTTTGTGTCATGAGAAGACACACTCACATGCTGAGGATGAACTCTTCAAGACACTGTTTGCTGGTTACAACAAGTGGTCCAGGCCTGTGCCAAACATCTCAGACGTGGTCATTGTCAAATTTGGGCTTTCTATTGCTCAGCTTATCGATGTGGTGAGGGTTCACTTTTTTCGTTTTTGCTTAATAATAGATACAAAAAGAGATTGTAAAATCAAACATTGTTCTATTAACACTTAAAACATATTATTTTCGTTGTCTATACAAAAACATTTACCAGAATCTCAACATGGCTTATATTGTTTCAATTAGGATGAAAAGAACCAAATGATGACCACCAATGTGTGGCTTAAGCAGGTAAGTTCCACAGGTATTAAATAGTTATGGAGTATAATAATAATCCTTCATATTCATAGTGTTATATAAATCCTGTGTGTACATTTCAGGAGTGGAACGACTACAAACTTCGCTGGAGACCATCTGACTACGACAATGTGACATCCATAAGAGTGCCATCAGAGCTGATCTGGGTCCCGGACATAGTCCTCTACAACAAGTGAGATATAGAACGCTTTGTCAGCGAATGCATTATATCCAAAACATGGTTACATTTGAATTGAAATACCCAAACATTTGAAGTTATTGAACTGATGTATAAGTATATCGATAGTAGTTTTGCAGAGCATGTGGTAATAGTGCCATCTTCTGGACAAGATAGCAACTATCCATATTTTAAGGCATCTAATTTTTATAAATAATACGAGATTTGATTCTCAGTTGCTTTTGCATTTTAGCATTTGGCATAATTTGGAAATTTGCCGTTTTCTGAGCTATCTAATCCAAAAAACATAGTTTGTTATTTTGGTGTACTGGCATCATATTTACATATGATAATTGTGATTTTTTTGCAGACAGCTTTATCACACACCATTCCCTGGCAGAGCTTTTCAACAAGAAAGTATAAAATAGAAACAAAAATAATTACGTTATAAACTATTCATACTTTTTGTGCAGGCTAGAATGCAATGCATTCTTGGGGGTATGGAATAGTCCTTTTCGATTGCCTATTGTTATATTTGAAATTTCCTTCTCACCAGCTTGATCCCTGTGTATTTTCATTTGCAGTGCTGATGGGGAGTTTGCAGTGACCCATATGACCAAAGCTCATCTCTTCTACACGGGCAAAGTGCGCTGGGTTCCTCCTGCCATCTACAAGAGCTCCTGCAGTATCGACGTCACGTTCTTCCCTTTCGATCAGCAGAACTGTAAAATGAAGTTTGGCTCCTGGACCTATGACAAAGCCAAGATCGACCTGGAGAAGATTGAAAACACGGTGGACCTTAACAACTACTGGGAGAGTGGAGAATGGGCAATCATCAATGCTGTTGGGACATACAATACAAAGAAATACGACTGCTGCCATGAGATTTACCCCGATATCACCTATTTCTTTATCATCCGGAGGCTTCCACTGTTTTACACAATCAACCTCATCATCCCATGCCTCTTGATATCCTGTCTGACAGTGCTCGTTTTCTATCTCCCATCAGATTGTGGCGAAAAGATTACCCTCTGCATATCAGTCCTGCTGTCTCTCACTGTTTTCCTGCTACTTATCACAGAAATAATCCCTTCCACATCTTTAGTCATACCACTTATAGGCGAGTACCTCCTTTTCACTATGATTTTCGTCACCTTGTCCATAGTAATAACCGTATTTGTACTCAACGTGCATCATCGCTCCCCAAGCACCCACAAGATGCCCCGATGGGTCCACTCTGTGTTTTTGGACCTGATCCCACGCTGGCTGTTCATGCGAAGGCCCGCTCCAGATGGCAGAAGGCGCAGGCTGCTACTTCTCCAGCAGGAGGCAGCGGCAGAGAGGAAGCAATGTAGGATAACTGGGTACAAGTCGGGCAATTGTCTAAGCACATCTGCAAACTGGCTGAGGGATGATTCGAAAGAAGAGAGGAGCTCCTATGAAGATTTAGAGTTGGGGACTTTGACATCGTATTTCTCTTTTAGACCACCTTCACCAAGGCCGATAGGGTCAACACCACCAACACAACAGACAAATACACCAAAAAGACAGGACACAGCCGGAGGGGTTAATAAACAGGTGGTAAATACTCGAGTTAATACGACACAGAGATCTAAAGTGGACAATGCCCCTTCAGAATCCACTCTAACGCTGTCTCCAAGTGTCATCAGGGCCCTGGAGGGTGTGCACTACATCGCAGATCACTTGAGAGCGGAGGATGCGGACTTCAGTGTGAGTACTAAGGAACTGTTATGTAACTTACAACTATTAGGCAAAATGACAATGCTTTTAGTGGATGAGAAATGTTATACACTCATTCCTGTTCTTGCTTCACCACTTGAAAATATCTTGTTACTGCATAGTTAGTTCGTTTTCATGTTTTTTAATTATTACTTTGTTACGTGGAGTTGTATATGTATGTATAAATGTTCATCATAGTTGTTGTAGTCAAGTGGCAGTATAAGAAAAAAAAAGGTGAAAATTATAGGTAGCCTTGAGTTTTAAAAATAAGTCTCTCTATTTATGTCATCAATACAATTCTATTAAAAAGAGACTAGCAAAGTACAGTATTTTCTGGCAGTTTAAACATTAATGTACACAATGTTAAAGTTCTAATTTGTTTTTCTTATACGGACACTAAATGTAGTTATAATTTTCCCCTACAGGTCAAAGAAGACTGGAAGTATGTCGCCATGGTGATCGACCGCATATTCTTGTGGATGTTCATTATCGTGTGTCTGCTTGGAACAATCGGCCTCTTCCTTCCCCCGTGGCTCGCTGGCATGATCTAGGATGAAGTATTCTCACTGGACTTAAACTTAAGACTATAGATGTGTGTTTTCTTGGGCCAAATTTTCAAGTAAACTTCCACAGAGGTAATATTTCTTTGAGAAGACTGGTGCATAAATAGTCATGCTGTCGTGAATGACATGAGCGGAGCTTGTGTGGGCTCCTGGGGAAAGACACCATTGTCCAAGTCGGGCTGAGTCAGAGTCACCAACATGAACTACTAGTGATGGAACTGCTAAAGTATAAAACTGATGTTAATTCAAATCTATATTTTATTTTCTCTACCTTGGCATGTGTGTAGAGCTTGTTTCCATCAAATATTTTTAATGATGTAAATCTGTAGTAAATGCTATTCTGCCACTTAAGTAGATTTATTCTCTTTCAGAAGTATTTACATGCAATGAGTGCATTACCATACGTTCATCATTCAGTCAATTAATCAAAAACAAAGAGAAACAGATATTACATTATGCACTGCCCCCATCCACTGTATGGGATATTTTATTTAGAGTGACAACATAATTACAAAATACTTTTTCAAGTTTGGCAGTGAAATTAAAGAGTGTCAGTTTTAAAAACAAATACTTGCCATCTTCAACCCAAATGTTTACATAAATGTATTCAATACAAACGTGAATGGCAGAAGATTAAAAAACAATTTATTTCCTTTATCAGTGTTTTCAGTCTTTCATTTAGTCAGTCTTGGAGAAGGGCAGGGCCAAGGACAAAACGATTACATTTTGGATTGGGTCCATGAAGTGACATGCAGTCATGCATCTGATTGAATTATAGGTCTTTGGGTCTGCACCTATGGGTTTTGTTTAAGGTGTGCTTTACGTGACATGAGGCATTTTACGACCAAAAGGAATTCATCAGCAAAAAAAGGATGCATTAAGAAAATGACTGACCCAGCGTGAAGGACAGAAGTTTATACAACACATGTTTGTCAGTTTAAAGGTATACTTTACTAACTTTTCTGATGGAGGGTTCTCTACCAGCTTGTCTGCATGGAGCTGTTATTGTTATCTTATGCTTTGCCTGGAGGTGTTTTGATTGCTAAAAAAAATATTACTTTGAAAAATAATGCCTCTCCACAGATCTGACCTGTAACTTAATCTGGTTGTGTCACCTGCTTGTCTCAATGGAGATAGACCATACTGTGGAGCTTTCTGGGGAAATCAATACCATCTCCATAGAAACAAACAGGTGGCAGACCCTCCAGTAGAAACATTACATAGTGCATACCGATGAGTGTAGTTTCCAGTGTACACTTGTTTACATGCCCACATTTATAATACTCATTTACATATATTATTACATTATTCACTATAAACAGCACTGAGTTCAGAACAGTAATGAGTTGTTTTATTAATGTATTTAGGGTCCACTAGGGGGCAGCAGGTTTGGCTATGTTTGCTCTCACTCGTGCTTGATCCACTGCGTCCAACATGTTCTTGCTGTCCATAGCCAAAGTGTGCGCCGCAGTCAGCATCTGCTTCTTACACTCCTCCTTTAAAGACGTGATGGCGTTCTGCTGGGCCAGTCGCATTTTACTGATCAACTCGGCCATGTCATTGTTCAGCAACTTCTGGGTGCCCTCGATCTGTTGATAATAACAATGGTCAGAATTTGGACAATACACAGTGAGCCAGACACACTGAAAGGTGAACTATGTAACTTTTCTGGTGGAGAAGCTGTCACCTGCTTGTTTCCATGGAGATGTTATTGTTTTGCCTGGAATATTTCACAATATGACATTAAACATATCTATCTTGCATTTATTAAATTACATATGTGTTTATTGTTAAAACATACATTTAAAACATCCATACATACTGTTAGCAGTATCTGACCTAACTTAGGGACATTCCAGGCAAAGTAATAACATCCATGATGCCAAGCAAGTGGCAGTAACTCTTCCATAAAAGTTTCTATTGCGATTTTCATGTCAACTTGACAGAAAGCCCAACCTATTGAACAACTCTCTATTAAGTGTTGTAAAATGACATCCTATCCATCTTATTCTGACACTGACCATCTCTTTTGTGGTTGACTCTTCCAGTTAAATGGGAATTCCTGGAATGTCTCATCCACTAAAACATTATACTAAAAACAGGTATTGTGCAAACTGTGTTCATTTGCACCCACTTGTCAATAATGCATCCTTTCTCTGGGTGGCTTGAAAATGTTTTGTAGTCTACAAAGAAATTATTTGCTGCTGAGATTGGCAGAAGGGAGGGGTACAATTAATGGCAGCACCCACAGCAACCTCCTAAATAAGATGGATATCGGTCTCATCTGCCCATAGAGTACACCAGAGTATATGGTATATACCTAAACATGCTTTTATTCAGAAAAGGCTATATGAACAAATCAATGTCCTTCCATTTTGTATTTTATTACACTTCTAACCCTGGCAGCTAAAGGAAAAATCAATAGAAAAACAGGAAATAAGAAGATGAGAGCTAACAAGGTGCTAGTGATAAACAGTACCTCAGTCCTGACAGATTCATGTAATGTGGGCAGGATCTCGTCCACGCTGCAAATCAAGTCTCGCAAGGCCATCCCCACAGACTGTAGACACAGATCAATATGAGAATTAATCAGGTTCATTCATCAGGAAACACGTCTTCTATTACTATTCACTCACCCTCAAAACACAAATAATAGGAGGCCGAGTATCAACTTGAAACAAACCAGGAAATAGTACCTTAATGATGCTAATATATTGTTCAGGCTGCAGCTCTGTCACGTCATTTTTCAGCTGAACCACCACTTTGACCAAGTCCATCACATTGTGGTATACTTTATCATTGGAGCGGTCCAGTTCAGCAGTGGGCGCAGGCTGTAAAACATTATAATTTCATTTCATGTTAACTTTCATCAATAGATCAAGATTTCATAATTATCTGTGGCTTCATCACCTTAAAACTATAACAAAAGCTACCATTTAAGGAAATCCATTTTAAGGTGACATTTACATTCAACTTATATTGTCTATGTCTTCTAAGAACCATGAAACATAAAATCATTAATTACTTGGGCTGTGAATCGTGGTGGCTTCTCTGGTGTAGCTGCAGGGACAAGAATTTAGATGAGGGTCAGATAGACAATATAAAAAGCAGTTCATGTCCTGTAAATGATCATGCTTTAATTTGCAGCTTACCATTGTCCAAGTCTGGGGGCTAAATGGGCAAAAAAGGCAAAGATCATGAGAAGGACAAAATGTTTTTACATTTTTTAGTGTTTTAAATATAGCCCATAGGGAAATCTACTGTAGTTATAGTAGCATAGTGATAAAGTAAAGTAATGAAATAATATAATTTTGAGGGTAATTGAGTAGAATTGACACATACCTCTGGGTTAACGACTACCTCTGGTCCCATTGGGTCCTGCAAAGAAACAGGCAGGTTCATTTTATACAGAACGCACATGGAGCTTCTCTTTGGAACTGTTATGGAAGGAGCAGTTAGTACAAAGCTATTGGGGCGTCGGGAGCTGACTGCTGGACTGTTAAATGCTTGTGGATTTAGAGTCGCAGCCAAGGCCGCAGCAAACTCAGGAGGGGGGTACAGAGACACAGACAGGGGGCTGACAAAACCTAAGGATGCTCTGTTTCCCACCAGGAGTTTCTCTTCCTTCTGCAGCCACTTTTTATCCTCCACCATCTCCTCTTTCTGCCTGCGGAGAGTGTCCTGCATGTGCAGCCGTTCCCGCTGCCACAGGCGCTGGACGTCTTCTCTGCTGTTGGGCTCCATTCGTAGAAACTCTCCCTCCTGAGGCCAGTAAACAACAGTTAGTGACACACACAGGTGCAGTTTAAGGTCCCGCTGGGCTCTTACCCCCATGCTGCGGCGCCGCGGTGACGTGACTGGCAGTGCCAAAGTGTTTCTAGAGTCAATAGGAGACTGGTAATCACATGGGCTGGCCAGGTCTGGAGAGCTGGCACACAGCGCCTCATTCAACTGGAAAACAGGTCAATAATCTGTAACTTTTACTTAGAGAACATAGAATGCATTACAGTGACAGTGGAGATCTGAGCAGTGAGTGTACCTGGATGTGCAGACCAATGCTCAGAGTGTTTCCAAACCGACCTGGCTTTATTCTGGAGGGCTGAAGTGCACATTTTTAATGGTGCATAGATTTCCAAAGCAGTGACAGAATATGAGTGGGGTACTCACCTTAGGAGGAGGTTCATTAAAGTTGAACTTTGTGTCAAAAAACTTCGTGGAACGTGCTTTGTCCCGCTCCCTCTCCACTTCCTGCTCCTTCTCCATTTTGTGGACATCGCTGACAGATTCATATTAGATTTTAGAGAAGAAAAGTGAAAATACACTGCTCCAGTCAAAAAGTCAGAGTTGTAATATCCACTATTTCCTGATTTATTCAAAGTGGATACCTGATCTTGACCACAAGCTCAGTGAAGGTGGGCCTCTCGCGGGGGTCATAGGACCAGCAGCGGGTCATGAGTGAGTACAGGGCAGGGGGACAGTTGTCTGGCTTGGGCAGCCTGATGCCCTGCTCCAGCTGGTTAATGACATCCCTGTTCTCTAGCCAGAAAAAGGGCTGCTGCCCATAACTCATTATCTCCCACACACATACCGCTATGGAGCAAAACAAACAAGTGCTTAGACAAAGTCTTAGTCATTTATCATGAGCAATCCAAGGTATGCACTGTATAGAAGTAAAGCCTGAAGAATGTAAGACACTGGTAAACAGAAGATCCTGACAACCAGAACTCACCAAACATCCACACATCACTGGCTGAGGTGAAGCGCCTGAAGTTGATCGATTCTGGAGCCATCCATTTTATTGGCAACCGCGTCACAGAAGCTGCAGTTAAAAGTTTGTTAAATATAAAAGTTTGTTAAAAATTAAATTTTATTTATTAAGAAAAATCTTAATTAGTACTAAAATTCTACCTTTATAATATTCTTCATCCTCTATGTATCGTGACAATCCAAAGTCTCCAAGCTTCACACACTCTGGACTCGCCACCAATATGTTTCGAACCGCAATATCTCTAATGAACATGAAAACAGATGTGAAAGCATCATATATTTATCTACAAGCTACTTAAGTAAATGTGATGTTGACATGATGTCATGAACTATCAAATTAATACATTCAGTCAAACACTGTAATAACACAAACATAATGCTACAAAAGCCACATATATTTCATGCATGGAACCTGTATCTTAAAATTTACGATTATATGGATTTGTTTTTATTTTTGCTCTGACCTGTGCACCATATTGACCCCCTCGAGGTAGACCAGAGCTTTGCAGATCTGCAGGCTGAACAGCACCAGAGTTACAACTGTCAGCGTCTTCTGGTTCTGAGCTAGGTAGTGGCCAAGCTGCACAGGATGTCAATAATGCTTTCAGACACTTGTCAAAGCACAGAGACATTATTCCTTACTGTTTTACAACAATATATATATATATATATATATATATATATATATATATATATATATATATATATATATATATATATATATATATATATATATATATATATAGTACTACTAACACAGACCTCTCCATGTTGATACAGTTCCATGACAATCCACACGGGGTCTTCCTCGATGATACCGATGAGTTTCACAATATGAGGATGGTCCAGAGTCTTCATAATCACTGCCAAATTACACACATGTTGTCAATATTACCTGTTACAGACACTATAATTCATAGCTGTTAAGCTACACACCTGCTTCACTCATAAACTTCTCCATGACGTCCGGTGAGCAGTCTTTGCATGTTTTCACAGCAACATTAATTCTGTTTCCATTCTGTTCAATAGGAAAAGAAATGTTAACTGGAGGATAAATTGAAGCTGAATATGTAGTTTTAACTAAGCTAAACTTACAGCTTTTTTGTAAACTCCATCATACACTTCTCCAAAAAACCCTTCCCCAAGGATCCGCCCGAGAACAATGTCATGTCGATCAATCCCATATTTAACAACTGCAAAAGATCCTTTGGTCATTTATCTGCAATGGCTCATAGGGACTAAATCATGTAGATTTGACAAACCTGATTTGGGCCTTTCATCGAGGATTTCACAATAAATATCTGAGTCTACAAATACAAATGTAAAGGTTTGATTTTGCGATATAATTGTATACAGTATATGACAGTGAAATGTTATTAGTTCATCTTACCCATGCTCTGCCTGATAGAGCTGAGAGCTCTGCTGCTTCAGGAGAGAGACAGAGTTAAAGAAGCCCCGGGTTATAAATTTTCAAATTACAGCTCCAAAGAGCGTTGACACATTCAATAAAATAGCTGCTCTCATCAATAACTTTTCATTTCATATTACATCCACAGAATCCCAGGAGCAGAGATTCTGCCATGAAGGAGGAGAAGAAGCAGCACAAATCACAGTAAGTTGTAAAGCCTGAAGCTAAATCCACTCACCCTGTGGGAATCTCAGGGAGGGAGCTGCGTGCGTTGGTATCTAGGATTAAAAAAAGACCAAATTGGCTTCAAAATAGTGGACATTATTTATTATTTATTTTAACTTGGCAGACATTTTTTATCACCTGAACCCATGTATATGGTATTTTCTATGGAGACAAATCTGAACCAATATTATGTATTCCTGAGCTTCAGATGTTTGCATATTATTATTGAGTATATTGCAGTTAAAGATAATCTATTTATTGTGTTACTGTATGCAGCTAACATGACTTACCTGACTTATTTGGCCTGTAGATAACTGAAACATCACTGTCATTTTCCAAACGACAATAACCGTCAATGAGATCCATCATGTTTTCTGCTCTGGGGATGTTCGCCACATTAATTGTTAAACGCTGAAAATACGATGATAAAAATACGAATTTTGAAGAAGGGGAAAAAATGACACAGTGCAAATAGTACACAGAAAATAAAAAGTATAAGTATAATAAGACAGCTCCTTACCTGTTTGGCCCCCTCCACTTCAAGATTGATGAGAGCCTTGCCATCAGGCTGAGGTATGCATTGTACTCTCTTTATCTGTTTGAAGTCTGCTAAAAACACAGGCTGCAAAAACACAAATGACAAATCAAATAAAATGTGACAAATCTCCCAAAAGTCTATCACAAAACTTACAGCGGCGTTTTCCTGAGTACGTTGACGAATGCCCCTGCCCCCGATCACCAGCTGCACGGACAGACTCCAACCTTGCTGTTTATGATAGAAATTATTAGGGGTTAGTCTTTTGTTATGTTTTTATTTTTGTGTTTATTGTACAATAAAAACAACTGTAAGTATTTAAAGATGTTTCTGAAGGACGGATAAACAGAATAGCTTAGATAAACAAATTTTATGTAGACCGTATTTTTAATAATTCAATCACACCAAGAAAATACAAATGTCAAAAAGGTATAAATACATGCAATAGATGTCCTCATTTCACTGGCTTATTTTGCACAAGAAAGAAAATGGGATATTGAATGGTGAAAGTGAAGATAGTCTGTATGAAAAAGAGGTTGCAGGGAATAGGATTGGATAAGGTTCTTTATAGCAAAGGAGAAGAGCTGCTCAGGCCAAAATAAGTGCAGTTGTTGGTAGCATTACTCACCACTAGTTCACAGGGGAAAACCTCCTCATCATAGCTGACACAGTCTCTGAGGGTCTCAAAGAACTTGATCATGCAGTTGTCCTCTTTGAGAGAGGCATATTGTAGGAACGTTTGTTGGATCATTTTCCGTAACTGTTTGGACTGAGTTATAACAAGGACATTCAGGCCTGAATAGTGAACCATGTGTTTACTTACAAACACTATACTACAAGGTTACCTTCATGCTGTTTATCAACTGCTGAGGGAAGAAAAGGTCCAGGCCCACCTCTTTCCTGTGCAAAAGGTGGAGTTTCAGGGATTTGGCATATTTGAAATAAATACTAGTAAAGTAATATAAAGCAAGGAAAAACTTACTCAAGCAGCTCAAAGTTGGATTTCTTTTCGAGACCCTTTGCATTCATATCTTTATAAAACCTCCTGTGATTACATAAAACAGTGAGATTCTCCCTTACACATTGCATGGTTTCTAACATCTGACCCACCTAATCTCCAAACAGCCAAGCTGCAGAGCCATCCCATCACTGACTTTTGTGGCATGATACTGCATATAGTCACTACGCACCTACAAAAATACATATTCATCAATGCAAAAAACAAACAAACAAAAAAAAAACATTAAAAAAGTAGAATGTATTTGTAAAAAATGAGTTACTTGTTGATAAAAATAGACTAATGTAGATCTGTCATCTTGAAATTTCTCCAGGAAATTGACAGGAATATATCTAATGCGGAGATCATATCTGCACAGAAAAACACAAGACACAAGACACAAGACATTATAACATACTACTCAGATTTAACACTATAATGACACTTTTTCTGGCCAAAGACACCTACACTTGAAATTTTACATTAAGATACTCTTTGTAAGCTCATGTAGATTCTCAAAAATAAATCAACCTGTTTAAAGTTTAAATGATTTTAAATGGACACTTTAAGATTTGTTTTTTAAAGTGACATTTTGGAACTAGCGTAGCACAAAGGCTACAACTTCTAACCTATAAATGCACTTAAAGATTACTGCTTATGAGCTTGATTATGACACCATCAAATGAAATGCCTGAATAATGCTTTAAATACCTAAAGGATCACCTGACCACATAAGTTAGTTTCTTCATTGATGGCAGGCATACCTCCACTCGGCCTCCACATGATGGCTCTCATAGCGTTGCTCCACTTCACCCACAGTCAGGTCGGGGTGCAGCCAGTGGATTTCCTCAGACTTCAGGTGTTTCAACAGAAGACCATAACATCCTGTGTGTTGAATGTTCGGCCCCAAACGGCCACTGATCAGAATGGAGCGGATGATTGCCTGAAACCAAGCATGTGTATCTTAATGCAATCTGATTAACATGAGAAAATCAAAAACTGAAATCAATAATCGCATTTTTATTAGTGTTACTACAAGGCATTTACATTTTTAAGATTTTTCAGCCTTGTTTACATGTTTTAGGAAATTTCTGCATTCAGCAACAGCTTGGCATTGGTACAAAGTCTGTTGTACCCTCTGTGGTAGAAGTGTATCTATAAATTTTTGTTATGACTTTCCCTGGAATGTTCCATGGTATGACATTAAACATGGTATGACATTAAACCTGTCCATCTAGCGTTTATTCATTATGAGTTTCTATTGCTCAAAAAGATAAAAAATTCCTTCTCTGAATAGGGGCGAATCTCCACAGAGCTAAATTGTAATGTAGTGTAGTGCAGACAAGCAGGTGGCAGATCGTCCATTAGAAATCTTACACAGTGCACCCTTAAATGAACAAGCAAATTTCTTATAACTTTAGTTAGTTTAGTTTAATTTCACTTTGGCAATGAAATGTGAAGTGAAATGTAGATAAGATCAGAGAAGTGAAAATGTAAAATTGTTATTTTGATGAGAATGACAGATATTTAATGACCACTATTTGACCACTAACGACTTACAAAACAGAAGCAGTGGTTCTGTTTTCACACAAAAGAAATTATGTAGTCATGGTGTTAATTTTAGTTACTTTATTAACCTTTACTAGGTTTTATTTTGATGTTAATTCTGATGTTATTCTAGATGTGTGTGTTTTAAGTTTTACTTCATGTTCCTGTAAGACTGTTTGTTTCACCCGTGTCTCCTTCATCTGTGTCCAATTATACCCTCTGTTCTCCTCTGCCCTTTGTCGGTTCATTGTCAGTGCCATGTCTGTTTGGATCTTTGTGTTTGTTTGTTCTAAGTTTTAATTAAACAACTTTTCAAGTGCAGTCCTGCATTTTGGGTCCTCTTTCTGCTCTAAAGGTGACATTATGCATGTGTTGCTGTAGAAATACAGGGTATTCTGATTCACAATGATAATAAAACACTTTTTGAGATGAGTCCAAGTCCATACACATATAATACAGGTATCCATACATGTATAATTTATTTCTGTAAATCATGGATTGCAGATGGAAACTATTTAGCAATAATCTGGTGTGTAACATCTATGTTTTTATGATCTTAATGTCCCTTCAAATAAAGACTAAATTAAATTATATCAAAACTATTCCAAAATTGTCAAATTTTGTCCTATAAATATTCAGTACTGATATTTGTTCAAATCTAGTTTAAACTTTTTTTACAGCCCTAGTTGTAAATGAATAGAAAACACTGAAATCAGTCTCAAACAACAGCTGATCATCATGACAGTATCAAGTTGCCTAAAACACTAGTATCTATCTGTACTGTAATGACATGTCAACACGGATTCTCTTAAATATTTGAGGCTCACCCTAATTTGCCACGAGCTGTCACATTTAACGAGTTTAAAGTTCTTGCCCAGCGTGTTGTTGTTGCAAAAGCACACTTTGAGGATCTTGACTTCTCCGGTGAACTGGGTTTGGTCGGGGTTGGAGTCGGAGTCGCTGGTCCTAGGAGGGGGCACTTTCCAGGCCAGAGTGTCTCCGGACATCACCTCATACATCTTCACTGAGGGAGGGGCCGCTTCATATCAGCATCCTGCAACAGATATTTGCTAAAATCAATCAACTACACAAGATACCAGAATGTGATGGAAAAAAAATACTACACTTTTCTGGTCATGATTTAAATTTTTGTTTTTTTGTACATGCGTAGCTTCATATTGTCTCTAAAACTAGGGCTGCAAGATATATAGTAATTACAATTTGAATGGATGCAATTAGCAAATCACTAAAGTGAACATGTTTTAAGTACAATAATTTCCCCAAAGAAATAACCCTTTAGTTTAGAGCTCTACAAACATGTTCTGAAATGTAATTCTTGTATTAGTTTGCCAATTCCTGTTTCAAATTTTCAGATTTTTTTCAAATCTTGGATGCATGTAAAATATAACGTTTAAAGGTGCACTGTGTAACTTTTTGGAGGTATGTTACCTGCCTGTTTCTATGGATATGTCATTACTCTGCCTGGAATGTTCCACAGTATGACATTAAACAGCTCTAACTTACATTTATTCAATTACAGGCAGTTTTACAGCTCAAAAATATTTACAACAGTATCTACCAAAGATCAGACTTGTAACTTGATCTGGTTTGATCTTTGTGACGACAGAAAGGTTTCTCCATGGAGAAAGGCATTTGACAGACCCTCCATTAAAAAAATTACACAATGCAGCTTTAAACAGAATCCTATTATTAAAACCTGAATTGCAAACTTGCCTTGCCAAATCTAATCACAATCACCATGTTTGTCTGGAAAATCGCAGATATTTTTCCCAAATCGTTAAACCCTAATGTAGCTAGAATCTGCTTGTTCTTACGGTTCATGTTTGATTGTGATTGGTTAGTTAGATACGTCAGTCACTCATTCATGACAACGGCTGACCAATAGGAGAGTTGGGGGTGAAAGTGGAAATGCTACTGTGTTTGGGTTATATCACAAGTCAAAATAAATATTGTTAAATCACCCACCACAATAAGATCTAGTCAAGAAAATTTACTAGCAAAATTTAAAAGTCCCATAAAAAGAAAAGCATTTAAATTGACTTGTGAGCTTTAAGCCATGTTATAAAGTTGTTACCTCCTCAAAAACATACCTGGAGCTGTTTGTTTCATTCACATATGTTTAAGTAATTCATTATTATTCTGTCTACATCTCCAAAGCTCAAAATACTCTGTTCCACACTGTGAAAGGTGGTAGTTTTCAAGATAAAAGCTACAATTTACTTTTACCCTTTGTTCAGAAGAGATGAGTAGTTATAGAGCTGAAATTATCAAAATGATTTGTGAAGGTCTATGGAGTTTAGCACTTCCTGTATTACCGTGTGACATCACAAGGTGGAATTTTCATTTTGAGAGAAAAACATAACCTAAATAAACGTGTGAATTTTGACAAGGAAACAATGTTATAACATAGATCAGAAAATGATAATGATATGGGTCCTTTAACTATAATATTGTACAGATGAGTGATAATATTTTACTACGCAGTGTTCAAAGCATAATAACCCCGTCTCTTGCATTACAACACTGACCTGTTCATTACATAATAGAGCTTACAGCATTTTTGTCTACGTGACTAATAACATCAGAAATTCAAGTATTCTTTTCTATCCGAGAACAAGAAGTGATAATTGACTTGTGAAACAAAAGTCAGACATTGTCAAGACATCTAATTTTAAAAGTGTAGTGGTAAAATCAACCTTTATCAAATACAGATGCACTGTGGTGATTAGCGAACAACCAGAAACATACATGCGTTAAACAAGAAGTAGTGTTGTAATCAGACATGACAACACTAAACCAAACACTGAATGAATGCAATGACATTTTATTTCTCCAGCCTCTTGGGGCTAAATAGTTTTCATTCTAAAAGACATAATAATTAATCAAAGAAAAATATCAATGCTTTTTTATAGAAAGTTGTGAATAGCATATTCTTTTATACTGACGCAGCAAACAGTCACAGTCACACTTAAAACAATAAGAACACACCTCACTACATACCCCAGTGCAATGTCCTCAAACAAGTGCCCTGTGGCTGTCCAAAGTGCTTCTTTCCTAAATGGGTAAAAAGGAGCCAGGTTTTCTCCCAGGCTGTGTCTGCTGTCAGAGGCTTGTGTTGTGTTTGCCTCAGGCCACAAATTCCCCAGCAGCAGCAACGCGGCCGAGTGGGAGTGTTATGTGTAACTGTGTGTTTAGTGCAGAACTGAAAGAAGACGAAAAGGGATGTGCACCTGATGTTGGTATTCTTCATAGTTGGGACAAATAAAACATAGCCAAATAATGAGCTCTTAATATAATGGTGTGTATATATATATATATATATATATATATATATATATATATATATATATATATATATATATATACACACACACACACACACACATATATATATATACATAATCAGTGGATATCTATGACTGGGTAATGTCATCATCTGAAATAGGTTCAGAGCTTCATAAAGGGAACAAGGCCTGTCATCTCTGACTTATGTGACAAAACAAAGTTACAGATAATGCTAAGCCATAGGGTACATTAGCAGTCATCACTTGCAATTATTGTACATGACAAATTGGAGATGATCTTAATTCAACAGGAAATAATGCAAGAGGTCCTAAACACAGCAAACTTAAGAACAATCAGTTCTCACTTAGGGCCGGCACACTCACAAATGCTGTCGTGTTCACACTTGAGTTGTTATGGTAACAACTATTTCCGGAGATATTTATCAGTGAATCACCACAAGATAATTATAATCTCATAAAGTGTAATATTTCATAACTGATAAGTCTGTTGCATGAAAAGAAACTAACTTTTGCAAAATACTTTGAAATCTGAGGTTTTCTTTAAATGTCACAAGTGAACACATTCATGACAGCTACTGATTTAGGACAACAGATTGTCACAAATGTGAAAGAAATTCCACAGCAGGAGAGGAGAAAGTTCACTGAAAGTGAGCAGTAGACAGCAGTTACTAAAGATGTGCTATAGAAAGGTACTCACTCACGTATTCAAAGACATTTTGGTCTATAACATAATTTTTTACTTTATAGCCTCCAGGTTAATTACTTGAACACATTCCTCTTATTATTTGTTCACTCATACTGAGAAACCCTGACTCAATGCAACCGCACTCTGTCATGACATGCAGTGGCTGCATTATTACCACGTTTAAACTTAAATCTGCATCTCTATTATGTTCTATAGGCATACAGACAATTATTAAATTAAAAGTATGCTTTCTTCCTTTTAGTTTCTGTAAAATAACCTGCCATGTGGTCATAGTGAACATAAGTTGTAGCCTATACGCCCAAATGTCTAAGCTGTCTAAATGTAGTTGTAGAAAGTAAAAGGCCTGTTTTGGCAGACTGTGTCAACAAAGGCAGGTCTCAGACAGGGCTATTCCTAAACAGTGTTTTGCTGAGGGTCTGCACATTGCACCGTCTTATCCCGGGCGGAGGAATGCGGCTCGCTGCTGCTTCACCTGCACAGACTTGCACTGATAAGAAAGCAAGGCTGTAACCTCACAGTTCCTCTCCTCACAGATACTATCAGCCTGTTTAAAATGTCTCAAATACAAAAACAGACTCTTGAAATCTACAGTTAAAAGTCCAATTGTATTTATAAGAAAACATTAATTATGCAGATCTGGTTGGATACATTTTTCTGAGCGGAGGTGTACACTTGTCCACAAGCACTGGTCATAGGTAACTCGGTATTAGTCAGTACTGTTACTCACCTGGCAAAAAGTTTGGACGCACTACAGTGAGGATCTAAATTATGATTCATCCGGTCCGATCATAACAGCACTAAATATAGATCAGTTAGAAAAAAGTTTATTCCTGTGTTGGAGTGGAGCTCAGTGTACTGTTAGTCGAGCAGAAGTGTCAGGTGGCCACTCCCTCACCTCCACTCACTGCTGTGGGCCCCTGTACTTCCTTATTGCTCCAAACCTCAACCAAAAACAAATATGGCGAATATCCTCAAGCGTCTAGTGAAGTGGGCCTGCGAGGGTTTAATATGGATTATTAGACCACGTGAGTAGCTAAAATAGAGAATTTCTGTAGAATTATATATGTGGGGAGAGGCGGGGAGTATAAAATTGTCTTACTACAATCCAGAAACAAAATTATAGTAATTGGTAATTAAGAATATTTTTGCCATTCAGTAAATAAACTGCAGCAATCCCTTTAAAATGTGTTGAGACTCTTGCTCTGAATAAATACATGTGATTACATCTAATGGACACCAGATGGCACTACTGCCTATGAAAAAACATCTGTTTAAAGTAGTTACACTAATTGTGTTATAGGCTTATTATTAATTTGTTTACTATTGTTATTTATTGTATTTCACATTTGTTAATCACTAACCTTATACATTTTTTTGATCAAATAAAGATAAATATTTGCTTTTCAATAGCTTTTACCTCAGACTGACTATTTGCATTATTATGTCTTAAATTGTATTTAGGTTATTTTACTTGTGTAAACAATTATTTACAGAGTTCAGATTTTTTTTTTTTTTTTTTTTTTTTTTTTTTTTGTATTCTCAGGTTGTAAGTTAACAATTAAAATATAAAATTAAAGCAACTCTGTGCAAGAGAAAGGGTGAAGAGTGTAATCCTGCCCTTCCACACTGTATATGTAGCCTGATATTGTATGTGTGGATATGTGTATGAATATATTATCATACACAAATATGTAAAGCAGTTGTCTTGTCAGGGGCACTTTCTTCACTCACTCCTCCCCTCTGCTGTAGGTACTATTGGGGGTACTGGATCGCCTGACAGCTGTGAGAGGAGTTCAAGTCTGGGGCACTCAGGGAACAGGCCACACCCACCGTACCCCACAACCAGTGCACTGTCAAGGGCAAGAATCTATAACAGGTGCCCCTCTCGCTCTCTCCCCTTCCAGCTTTTAGACAGTAGCAGTCACACGCAGTGAAATGCTATAGGCTTAAGCACATACAATGGATTCAGTGTTCAGGGGCAATATAGGATCATTAACAGCAACCATTTAGGACACGCCACCGCCCAAATCAGCACACTCCCCACATCTCAGGGTGGAGCCGGGCCAGAATTTAGCTAGGCACTCCCAGGGGAACACAGGTGGTACTCTGGTATGCCCATGTTTCTTGCACCTCTCTAGAGATGGATCGACTGAGGTGATGAATAGAAAGTATTTGTTTCTTTGCAACAGTGAGTCTAATAATATTTCTCATAGTAATTCCAGTAATGTTGTTATTATGTGTGAAGAAGGTGTTGATAAAATGAAGAGTGTGTCAGCAGTGTCAGGATACATGCTAAGGATTGGGGGATGATTATAATAGACTTACAACCATTGGTTTGGTTTCTAAGTACTAATTTGTTTATCCTCTATAACTATTTTAGGATAGGTAATGTTGTGGTAACTTTATATTTAGGATCATGTTGCAAAGGGGAATCAACCCAAAAAATCCTTTTTCATAATTTCATCATATAATACTTAATTATTATTCTTATTCTTGTTATTTATTTATTTAAATGAACCTCAAATTCAATGTTAACAACACTGATTGATATCAAATTGCTTACAAGTCTATATCAGACTTGTAAAGACATTTAGTACTACAGTTTATAGATTTTTTTTTAAAAGTAATTATTGTGTAATTGTTTAAAAATTATATGTGGAATTATGATCAATTATACAAATTCTTTCAAATGTATTTAATTTCTTCAAAAATATACAAAACCTCTTCTATTACATAGATTAGACAGTAGCCCAAGCAACTTTCCTCTGTATTTTAAGTCTAGTTAATTATGCAAAAGAACTAAAAGTTTGCCATAAAATAAATAATTCAACAACTTTTTGAAACAGGTCTCCTGTAAATTATACAATATGGTACATGATTATAAATATGTATTAACATATTAATGTATAAATGTACCACCTGTAACATTGCCAGTCTTAAAATCCCCCTGTCAGGTCTGATTAGTGAAGACAGCAGTTCAGTCTCTATCCACTAGAGGATTCATCACACCAGGTTTTATTCTCCCAACACTACACTTCTGCTCATATTCCTTTTAAATTTAATCCCACCTTAAAGATAAATACTGCTGCATATTTTAAGATTCAGCGGTTTTGTGAGGTATATACTCTTACTGTGGACAAGGTACCCACCTCAAACCAGACTACAGACCCCACCCGAGGGCCCGTGTGAGAGAGGTATGCTTTCATCTACCTCATTTCACATTTACGCTCACCTTATGTCACTTGGATGAGCTTGGTGTATTTATCTTTCCCTTAATGACCGCTGACTCCTCATTGTCCCATGGATGACCTCTGGGGTCAAACTGCTGACATCATCGCTCTGGTTAATGGTTTGACTCGGCCTCTAGAGCCTGTATTTGTTCACCTTTGACCACAAGGACGGACACCTGGACAAGTAAAGGAATGGGGGGGGGTTTGGAGCTATTAGTATTAGGTGTGTTTACTATGTGTAATCTATAATCTACAATAAAAAGTATATATGTATGAATATATTAAGTACCTTATAGATAACTTATAGATGTTTAGATTACATTGGGTTTTCAAGTATTTCTCTTTATACGCAACCATAGATATATACATATATACTTAATAGGGCTGCAAAGATTTATGGGAATAAATATTAAAAAATAAATAATAATTGTGAGTAGTCAACTATTTAAATAATCATAATCATATTTTGTTAATTGTAATTGTTAAGTAGATTATATAGACTCTAAAACATGCACTAAAAGACCTTTATAACTTTATAAATAAAAACATCAAACAAGAATAAACAATTTCAGATTTTTATCAATACACTATATATATCTTCTATGTCTAGAATTTTTACCTTTGTGAATTTACAACTGTATTTACAGCATATCAATATACAATGGAAAAAGTCAGCTTATCAAGAATAAATAAATCGCTGATAAGTTGACTACTAAAATTATTAATTGGAGATATAGTTTTTTAAAAATACATTTCAAACATTTCAGCAAAGCAATCTGCCCTTCCTTTCCCCACCAGTTGCACAAAACTGTTGCCAATTGTTAATGAGGATGATAATGCAAATTTATTGCACCTTAACTACTACTACTACTACAACTAACACTACTACTACTACTACTACTACTACTACTACTACTACTACTACTACTACTACTACTACACTTACAACAAAAACATTAGATGCAGCAATCAAATACAAACTTACACAAACTTAAAATCACTTTGTATTTCCTCCCTTAAATCAAATAGTGTTGATGACTATGTGAAGGCATTGGAAACAGGTGTTGTGGCTGTAATAGATGAGGTCCATAAAGTCGAGCCCAAACAGCAGGAGGTCTGGGTGTCCAGTGAGGTGTGAAGAGGTCCAGGCCTGGGGTAGATTATAGACCCAGCCCGCATTACAATAGAGGTGAGACCCAGCTGGAGTCCCAGAGTTACTGCTCTGCAAACAAAAAATAAAACAAATCTCCCATCATGCATCTCTTTAGAGGGTCATCGTCAATACTGCCCCCTTTGTTTGGAAATGATATACAATTAGCCCCCAGCTGCACAACCGTAAAAGGTCACACTGAAGATTCATAAGGTTTAGAGGGACTTCAAAACATCAGGGCAATAAAAACAGGTCAAACTGGTAATGCAGACAGACTAAACCAGTGGGACCAGTCTTTTTCACACAAAGATTGTTCAGTGGAGGAAATAAAGGTTTAAATGTTATCTTGAGAAGTGACAACTACAATTCACTTAATATGCTTTTGAGTAACTGCCAAAAGTTTCAGAATAAAAATAAGACACAAATAAAATAACTGAAATGCTGTCTTGTATTGTTTCCGTGTTTAGTGCAGTTTCCAAAGCAAATGAAATTCGGCTTGCATCAATGCCAACTAGGCTTCTTAAAGTAAATGTTGCTATAATAGTGTTTCACTTCAAAATAATACTATACAGAGAAAGTATTTTCATTTTAAAGTTCATATATTACGAAAAATTGACTCTTGTGAGCTTTTAGCCATGTTATGTTCTTCCCTCATCAAAAACATACTTTTGTTTAATTTATATATGTTTGATTAACCCTTTCTATCTCCAAAGCTAAAATCCTCTGTTCCACATCACGATGCCATAGAGCTGTAGTTTTCAAGTTAACAGCTACCTCTTATCTTTAGAGATTGGCAATTCCAGGGGCTGAAATTATCCAAATGATTCTAGTGAAGGCGTATGGAGTTTAAAAACACAGTGGAGCACTTCAAACACAAACTCAGACACAGAACACATCCTAAATATGCAGTGTTTGTGAGTTAAACATGTGTGAATGAAACAAAACACAACTCCAGGTCTGTTTTTGATGAGGAAACAACATTATAACATAGATCAGGAAATAGTGTAATATGAGCCATTTAACTTGCATAAAGGATTTCTGGTAAATCCAGAAAGGTACGATGAATGGGCCATTGACTCACCGAATTTTTGTGGGATGACACACACCTGTAATAGAAGTTATAGGATTCACAGTTATTCTTAGTGTGGTCAGTTTATTTAAAATCTTATACAAAAAATCTTGCCCAAAAAACATCAATTATGTACTTTCCAGGGTGTAGTACAGGCCTTATTTGAAGTTTCCCGTAAACTTAAAAGTCCAGCTAAATGGTGAGGTTGAATATAAAATACTGAGTGGAAAATAGCTATGGTAGTGTATAAACATTTATTTTTTTATACTACTACTCTTTTTTTGGAAGCTAGTTTATGGATCCACAAAAATCTTTCCAGAATCATTTACCTTAAGTATATTTTTTAGTCCTTATACTGCTTGAGACTTTTTTTTAAGTAACAGAAGTATTTTGAAGTTCCTCAATATTATTTGGGGCCCCACGGTTTGGCATTTTGATCACAGCTCCAGTGCATACAGTTGTTGTGTCCTTGGGCAAGAAAGTCTACCCACCTTGTCCCATTTCTGTGTGATGTAAAGTGCTTTGAGTGCCCAGTAGAGTAGGCCTTGCCATTTAGTTTCTACTTGTACTTTTGTAATCCCTCTTCCCCCTGTTTCATCTCATTAAATTAAACATGTAGACGATGCTGACACGTTTACCTGTCACCGTGGCGATCTCGTGGCTTGGGTTGCACTTGGCATCTGTGGCGTGGGCTGTCATCAGCGCTGGGTTTATCCGAGGGAGTGTTGGGACTTGCACTGGGCCCGGTGATGGCACGGCTGGCATGTCTCATTGGGTTACTATAGCAGCAGCTGCCAGGGGCTTCAGATGGTGTAACAACATGACAGAGGTCAGGATAACAGCGACATGGAGGAAGAAAGTAGAGAGGGCTAATGGGAGCTAAAGGGGGACATGTCGGCCACTTTGTTAGACAATGAAAAGGCTTGGGATGTAGGGCAGATTGTGTTGTTCAATTCATGTTTCAGTCTGGGCAGGCAATGGGCACTTTTATAGTCTTTATACAGGTAGAATGGTTGAATGGTTTGAAAATTATGAATCAATTTGAAGTTAAAAGTTGTGATAAAACTCTTATTAGAAGGACAGTGTGTTTTCTAGTAGATGTGGGAGATATATCCAAAAATATACAATAAATTCTATTATGGAAGACAATATATTCTGTTTTGGAATTCTAATTTTGCATATTTCCAAAACAGTGTATAATGTATAATAATTTGTTTTGGAAATATGCAAAATTAGAATTCCAAAACAGAATATATTGTCTCTATAATTAAAATCATTACTTCAGCAAGAGACCCAAACAAAGTGATATTTCCTGTTTGTGGTCATTTGTATGGTCCATTTACATTATGTGCTAGACTTGAATCTCATTTATTTAAAGGCATGTTTTTCCATATTCCTGATGCATTGTTAAAACATTGTCTGAATATTGATATCATGGTAGCGACAAAATTCTGAAATATACATTTTTGTGAGACTAGAGAGATTCACATAATAATTTGGTATATATTGCGGTCGATGTCTTTCTTTATGTGATGTAGGTAAAGCTACGTTAAAGAGGCATCTGTTGGTGACAATGATTTATCACTGTCTACATTTGTCTATACAGTACGGACCTCAGTATATCCTGTGGCACTGTAATTAGTTTGAATGGGTTAGTATGTTCTATTAAGTTCCATTAAGTGAGATTATTATTGTGGTCATAGCCTATTAAATTTATATTCAGAACATAGTGCTGTTTTGCCAGAGTTTGAAGCCTCATTGGCTTTTATAATATAATGATAATAAATTGGTTATTTAAAATAATATGCAATGGGCAGCTTGGATTGTAAAATTGCCTGTTTGTGCTACTGGGATACACAAGGCAAATTGTATTCCATTAAATAATAGCCTCTTACTGAAGCACAATAATTTTGGGTGTACAATGGAATAAAAAGCGCAGACAAACATCCTACACCGCTCGTGCCTCTTTTGAAAATGCTTCCTTGCACACTCACACAAACAAACAGACGGAGAGGGAAAAAGAGAGAGAGAAAGAGAGAAAGAGAGGGAGGGAGGGGGATGATGTCACCTCTTGTGGACGGCTAACGCTCGGGCTTGAGATAATGGTGACATTTCTGGAGAGGTGATGTCATTCTTGTACTCACTGCCCCCTCCCTCCTCTCTCTCCTCTGTCTCCTCTCCCTCCTCTTTCTCCTCTCTCTCCTTTCGTGGTAATGCAGGTGGCCGGTCAGTCTTTCAAGCCTACAGCAGAAGAAGTAGTCACATTGAATAGGCAGCATAGCAAGGCAGTGTCCGCTGAATGCATCTGGCCACTTTATTTGATACACCTGCTTGTTACTACTACTTGTCACCATTGGCAATTAACAACACGTTGAAAAATGTTCCAGTGATCCAATTTTAAAAGCAGGATAAGTATGTTTACCAGTATTCATACAGTCATATCAGTAGTAGAGGTGTGTCACTGTAATCCCTCCGTCATCCAGGCATTGTTACAAAGACGGCAGAGGCGTTGCAAGTTCTGCCTAGGAGACGGACACGCAACAGGTTCATGTCTATAATAAATAAATAAATAAATCTGAAATATTTCATTCTACTCCCCCATTTTAACACAAAAACTTTACTCCGATAACTCAAATGTCAACAGAGCTGTAACAGTTTTTCTTTTTGTATTATTTCCAGACCAAGTGCAAACTGTTGAAATGTCAGTGGAAAAGGAGACTTGTGATTGGCTAAATATCGTACGCACATGAGCTGTATAAACCCAGCTGAACCTTCGCCACTGTACATAAGTGATAAATATAAAACTAGTCATTTTTGAAGGACAAACAAGACGCCCTGGCTGCATAACATTACTGCCAGAACAGCTTGCATGTGGTCCGTGCACGTGCAGCTTGTATACTGTATGTAAATAGGATTTCTCCCCTCCATCCATAGTTGCCCACTGAGACCAATCAAGCACAGGGCTGGCAGGCTGTGGGGCTGCTGGGTCCCTTTTACTGCAGTCTTCACCCTCAGGATCTGCTCATTTAAGGCTTCCCTCTCTTCACACACTTCTCCACACTAAATGTATTATGTATTAAACCTAGTGCTATGGGATTAACCCGTACTGTCTATTGTGCCTGGAATTCATACCAGGCTCTACAATAAAGTATGAAATGGTGACTTTATTTTACCAGAACTTTTGTCTCTTGGCTACTTTAATGGTCTAGGAATTCATGAATATTGCTCCCATACAGCCCAGTATGCTATTATGTTGCACTGTATAATTTGGATTATTTGTTATGAATAAAATAACATGGTAAAATACTTAATCTTGAATGAATCTAATATTGGGCACGTAGCCTGTATTATCCTTCGGTTTCAGAAATTTAATTAGAATATTATGTCTTTTGAATGGGAAAAACAAGTCAAAAAGTTACTGTAGAATAGCTGTGGTTATTAAACATGGTCACAGTGAAATATTTTGATGCTGTATTATGGATACTTACCATGAGTTGTACTGGCAGGTTTCAGTACAAAGCCTTATTTTATTTTTATACTAAGGAGATTTTGGTTTAAGGTTTTCATAGCACAGCAGGCACATTGCCAAAGCTGGAGCTGCTTCAGAAGCCTAAAGGGTTTTTGTAGCAGTACCCTCTAAGAGCATCTCACCGTCAGTATTTTTATCGCAGGAAGAACTCACCTCCAGCTCTCTGCACTTTCACTCCACCAACTTGTGCTATGGCTGTCTTTCTTCCCCCGTTGAGAGGAGCAACGTGAGAGGAGCGGTAAACAAGTTCCCACCCCCCATCGCCTTTGCCACACACACACACGCACACACACACACATGCATGCTCACATATACAGGCTGTATCTGGGCAAAAAGAACATAAACATATGTCTTATATCATCAATTGACAGGAAGGCAGCAGGTCCCACTCCTCCTGTCTGCACAAAGGGCTCTCATCACTCCTAGGAATAAAGGGATAGATGCTTACAACAGCTATAGTAAAAGTCCATATATTTTACATTTTATGAGTTGTACATATAGGCCCGCCTGGTACAATAACATAGTTTAAAGTGCGACACAGAAAATGTACAGAAAATAGTACGATAAATTATACAACTGAACGCCACTGTACCACACTGACATAATAACTATAAAGTAGGATCATCCAAATAAACACAAAATGTAATTAAAGTTGTGTATTCTCTGCAAATATGTGGTACAGCTGATAAAAATTAACCTCAAAATAATATTGTTGACTTCTCATTTGTGAAGTGTGGTTAAGGAAATGACTTAAGCATCCATGGTAAAATGTGTAGAAAATATAAAAAACACATTTCCCATGCGTAAGTATTATGAGCTTTTAATAGGAAAATATTGTCAACTTATATGGAGTAAAATGGAGTCATGTATGTTGCTTGACAGCTAAACAAGACTATGATGCAATATAATGACTCCTATGCCAAGGTACCAGATGTCTAATAGTCCAAACATCTGCATGTATTTATCATTATGACACAGGGTCGAAATGGGACACCTTAAGCAATACCAAACATATGTTGTAGGATGGCAACTGACTAATAAACAACATAGTTCATTTTAAAGAGGCTGTTGCGGAAATACCAAAATCAAGTGCAGTCGGAGATAGAGCTGTAAAGTAGAGTTTGACATTGTTTTTTCACATTGTTTTTTTTTCCAATTGTGGCTTGGGACTGGCTCAAAAAGTAAATTAGCTTAATTAGTTTATTCAGAGTTTATACCGTATTCATAGTAAGCTCTGCAACAAAACTAGCCACTTGAGATGGGAGTATGATTTATTTAATAGTTACAATATACTCCATTAAGGGACTTTTTATTACTTGACTGCAGTTTACAAGCCTGATTCATCAGCCGGTTTCACTTCATAGAAACCATCTGACCTCGCAGTTTTAGAAATCGTTCGCCCGACTTTGTTCATTTAACCAACTGCTGCTATTTGGTCGTGACGTATGTAATGCGCCGCTAATGGGGCTAACAGGTATATTAAGCTTTTCCCAAATCCCGTAGGAAGAAGGGCAATAACATCTTTCCCCTTGATAAAATTCACTAAACATTCTCATTGTTCCAGCTTTTAATCCTTGATTTCGCGAATCGTTGACAACACTGAATATATGGCTCTTTGCTGATTGGCTGGTGCCCCAAATCGCACTTCTAGAGTTCTTGTAAACCGTCCAGTGTATTCTGATTCCTGACCTAGTTGCTGGAGAGAAATGAAATTGAGCGGAGGCACTAGATGGCACCAGCCTTGCTAGCAGTTTACAGTTTTACCACTTATTTTTAAAGGTCCCGTATTAAGCAAAAAATGACTCTTGTGATAATGATGTTCCCTCATCAAAAACATACCATCTCCAAGGCTTAAAACGCTCTTTTCCACCTTGTGATGGCATGAAGCGGTAGTTTTCAAGTTAACAGCACTATCACATGACATCGCAAGGTGATGAAACAAAAATGAAACAAAACAAAACTTCTTGATGAGGAAACAACATTATAACATGGATATAACATGGATCAGAAAATAGCATAATATGGGCCCTTTAGTATATGTACTTTTCTAGAATGCATACAGTACCTTGCTTAATTGGTGCACAAATACAATTTTTGCCAGATGAAAGGGGTTTGTAGAAAGGATTAATAGTAAATTTGAAAAGCAGTATATGAACTGCCACGTCCCTGAAAATCTGTATGGCAAGGCAAAGGTATGTTAATAAGTGCCATACCAGATTAGAATTGTAAAGCCCCCTACGATAACACACATATTTGAATTGCCTTCTGCTGTTTCTTTGTTTGCAACTCAGCGCCGTGTCAAAGAGCTTTCGCATCCTTGTAAAATCATGTTTACAAAAAGACTGGCACTCTCCCTCTTTCCTGCATTTGCACAGCCCTCTTGTTTTTAACTGAAATCTCATTTGACCCGGTGTGTAACGCTACAGAATACAGCTGCCAATTTATTTTCCCTCTGCTATAGTTGAAGTTGCTGCTGTAGGTAGAGAAGGATAAAAGCAAATTACTGAATGATGACATGTAATGTGATGTTTGCATGTGAGCAGAGACACTGATGAAAAGCTTTTCAGTTTTGAGGGTTTGCTCCAGAGAGGACGCAGTGGAATATTTACTGAGTGAAAGCAAATGACTTGGTGAGTGTTGACATATTCAGGTTTAAAAACACTCATTTTCTCATCGGCGACCTGCTTTATTATTACTTCACCTCTTCTACCGCATAGAGCACTACCCCGGGACCACTTTTCAACAGTCAAATGCTAAGCCATGTTGATATACATCACATTGGCTTTGATTGACTCATCTGATGCATAAAACTGTGGTCGGGTGTAGCATCAATTATTTAAGCCCTATATGGAAAGTGCTGTCGAGGTCTGAATCATTCATACCTTGTTTCCCTTTGACTAACAGAAGCAGGGCCATTAGAAAATGATCTGATAGTCACATTTGAATGGAAGAACGCAGGCGTGTGACCACCATTGTTAAAAGTGTAGGATCTAAAGCCTGCTTGTGTCCATGGAGATATTGTTTTGCCTGGAATATTCTATAGTATGGCATTAAATAAATCAATCAATTTATCTTACATTTCTCATGGACAACCAGAAGCCATTACATCATCATAGGTCAGATCTGTGGAGAGGCACTCAAAGTAAGAATGTGAGTCTTTTTTCGGCAATAGAAACACATCATTGAATAAAAGTGAGATAAGTTTAATGTCATAACTATATTTCCATGGACAACCAGAACAAGTTACATGTCAGATCTGTGGAGAGGCTACCCACTAACAGTAAGAATGAAAGACCTTCGCAAGCAATAGAAACTTGTAATTGAATTAAAGCAACAAAGATAAGTTTAGTGTTATACCTAAACTTTGATATCTGCATCATATGTCAGATCTGTGGAGAGGGTACCCACTCACAGTAAGAATGCAAGACATATGAAAGCAATAGAATCATGTACCAGAATAAAAGCAAGAAAGAAAAATTTTGTGTCATTCCTAAACTTAGATATCTCCATGGACAACAAATCAAGTTACACCGTTATATTTCAGATCTATCGAGAGACTACCCACTCACTGTAAGAATGCAAGATTTTTCTAGGCAATAGAAACCTGTAATTGCCGAAAACCAATCATGAGCAACAAGTTTATTGTCATACTGTGGATACAGGCAAAACAATAACATTCCCAGGGAGACGAGCAGATGGCAGACCCATAGAC